CAGGGTGCTACTCCCGCTGCCACAGCAAGTGTCTGAACCTCATCACCAAGCCCTGCGTGCGCTCCAAGGTGAGTCACCAGGCTGAGTATGAGCTGAGCATCTGCCCCGAGACTGGGCTGGACAGCCAGGACTACCGGTGCGCTGAGTGCCGGGCACCCATCTCTCTCCGTGAGTGCCAGGGAGGGGGCTGAGACCGGTGCCAGGCTCACATGCTGCAGGTGACCTGGGTGTGCCTGGGCCTGGTGCTTGCATCCTGCAAGTCTGGAAGGGGAGGAGCAGGGCAGGGAACTGCTCTGGGTGTGGGAGTCTGGGCAGCAGGGAGCTGGGGCCTGGTGCAAGGCAGGTGGTGTGTGTCAGGAGCCACGTGGCCATGCCCTGACTCAGCGTGTGCTCACAGCCGGGTCATCTGCCTGCTGCGTGCTTTGCCCCTCCCTGAGCACAGTGCTTGGTGGGGGCTGGCAGGGGCCAGCAGTGAGTGCCCCTATCTCGGGTGTGGGAGGGCAGTGGTAGTGGTGCCCGGCGCTGACGGTGGTGCCCTGCGCAGGGGGTGTGCCCAGCGAGGCCCGGCAGTGTGACTACACGGGCCTGTACTACTGCAGCAGCTGCCACTGGAATGACCTGGCCGTCATCCCCGCCCGCGTCATCCACAACTGGGACTTCGAACCCCGCAAGGTGAGATGCCTGCTCCCCCCATTATCCCTGGGGTGCAGGGGGGGCCCACGTCTGCCCTGTGTGTGCTGGGGTGGGACACGGGGAAGGGGTGGCTGTGGGCAGAGCCAGCTCCCCTCTGTGCAGCCTGGGGCTGGTGAGGGCATTGGCAGTGCCCTGGGTACAGGGCGGGCTACTGGGTGGTGCTGGATAGAGGTTGGGCATGGGGGCTTCTGGACTGGTGGAGGGGCTGTCCCCTTCCACACTATGCGCAGTGCGTGGGACCAGCCAGCCAGGTCTGCCCCTGCCCGGCTGCGAGCAAGGGGCAGCTGAGAGCCGGGCACGGAGAGGCCAGCTCTGCGGTCTCCTGCCAGGGGCAGCAGTGGGGATGTGCTGGGGCAG